TGGTCCGGCCGTCGAGCGAGCCGCGACACTACGTCGCGCCCACTTGCTCGTTGTGTGTGAAGTTCAGTCTGGAAGTGGAAATTCGGATAATACATTAATGGAGAGTTTGATGGATGTGATCAATATTATAACAATAAAGTGCAGCGGCCCGCAAGTGAGCCAATGGACCTACTCGACGACGTACTCTGACTCGACAGGCTTCTTCCCTCCTTTTATCTCCTCGAGCACATAATAAATGTAATATATCATCCAATAAGAAACAAAATTTCGGAGCTTCATTCCTATTGTTCTTCTGGAACTGTCTAAATATCCAAACATCCTTCTAAATTTGAAATTATTATGGCAACCTGACTCGCTTTTTGAGACGCGGCCAAGGAGCCGGGGGTGGCCGCTCTCGGGGGTGAGTCACGCGTCCATGGTTACCGAGGAGCACAGTCTGGAGTTCTTACGGGAGGACAGAGTTGGAACTCTAGTGGACACTGCCCTGCCGGGGAGGAAGAGTGGAACGCAGGTGCCACTGGCCCGAAGTGACTACTGCGGCAACCAGCCTAAAGGCCCTGACACACCAAGCAGTCACCAGAGAACTCGCTGACGCCGACTGTTGCGTCGCTGTGTTCTCCTGCGTCTTGGCCATGTGTCGCACTGGAACACAACGCAAAGACTTCAGCCGAGCACGTACGAACTGCGCATGCGTGAGTGGCAATAACTCTCCTTACCAGCAGGCGGGGGTAGTGTGTATTCCCCATTCAAAAGAGGCAACAACCGGAAGACAGAGAAGAAGAACAGACTACGTGATATAAACAAACAACAAATAGCGTGTGCGTTCCATTTTCACTCTCGTCCATCGAAAACATGTTTTGTGCGGTACTGGAGCTATCAGCCATTGGAGTGTTGCTTGTGGAAGACATTCTCAAGCAACCGTTTCGCTTCTCATGCACTGATTCGCTAGCTGAACAGCCAATCAGAGTGATTTCTTTGTCCGACGGCCTGTGGCAGGCGCACGCGTCGGCCATGAAAGGCCAAATAAGGCGTGTCACGGCCGACGGTGCGGGACACACACCAAATTGAGTTTGGGCGACAGGGCACGCTTTGTCGTCCGACTAACGAAAACGGCCGATTTCGGCCTGGTGTGTCAGGGCCTTTAGACTTCACTCGCGTTTATGTCCATATCGAGAGAAAGATAAATCATCTGAATTCAGTGTGCAGTTTACTTTGACGCGGGGGTGAGCAGCAGAGGTGGGGAGAGGCGGGGTTATTGCCTCATCATTATCACAAAATGATCGTATAGGTCCTACACACGGAGCCGTTGGACCCCCCAGAGCTTTGCGTGTGCCGTTCTATCCACCTTGGGACCCGTTAGCGTTACCGCAGTTGTTTACCGTCATATCGTTCGTCCTAGTGTGGCAGAACGGTCTATATGACACTGAACAGTAACGCAAACGACCGTTATCGTCCTCGTGGGGCCGGGGCTTAAATATGTGTTTAAATACCCTTTTGAATAAAGTATTTTGAAGCTGCATACAAATCTACAGACTTAACTAAACAGATCCTCCTCAAACCAAGATCTATTTTCTTCAATGATAATGAGGATTATGATGCAATATTGTAAATAATATAACAATTGCAATCAGTCAAAAATAATCGCAATTGGTAATCATTTCCAAATGGTTCAGCACTAGATAGGAGGTTTAGGAGCTATGTATAAATGACTGACAGAGATGTTACTCTGAAATAGCTGTGTATCACCTCTACCTCAGGGCTGGTGTTGCTGGGCGATTCTTGCTGGGATGCTTCTCCATCTACACCTTGAACTGGCTCTGAGACGTCCACAGTTACTGACACATCCTTGTTCAGTGTGCACGATCTTCTGTGGTTTCTGAGCGTTCCTGCCAGGGAGAAGTGCCTCCCGCAGTCCTTGCAGGTGTACGGCTTTTCTCCCGTGTGGATCCTGGTGTGCCTGCGGAGCTCTCCAGGAGCCACGAAGGACTTATCACACTGTGTGCAGCTGTAGGGTTTTTCCCCCGTGTGAGTCCGCATGTGTGTGGTCAGAGTCCACTGCTGTGCGAACGTCTTCCCGCAGTCGGAGCAGTGGTAGGGCGTGATGCCGGTGTGCAGACGCTCGTGTCTCACTAATGTTCCCGACAAGGCAAACCTTTTGTCGCAGAAAGAGCACTGGTAGGGCCTCTCTCCGGTGTGAGTCCTCTGATGATCTCTCAGCTCGGCGGCCGAGTTACAGCTCTTATCGCAGTCCGAACACGGGAACTTCTTCCTCACGAAGCCCGCTACAACCTCCGAGTGCATCGCCTCTAAGTGCGTTTTCAGATGCCAGTGTCGGGAGAAGCTCTTCAGGCAGATGGAGCAGTGATACGGCCGCTCGCCTGTGTGCGTCCGCCGGTGCAGCCTGAGCTCACCCTGACTGGCAAATCTCTTCTCGCAGAAAGTGCATGGGAAGGGCTTTTCCCCGGTATGGACCCGTTCATGGATCATTAGCAAGCCCTTCTCTGGGAACCTCTTCTCACACATGGAGCAGGGGAAGGGCCGCTCGCCTGAGTGAGTGCGTAGGTGTCGCTGAAGCTTAGAGGCGTACGGGAAGTCTTTCCCACAAACTGAGCAGCTGTGAAGGGACGACAGTTTTTCATTCTCGCTTTGATCGAATGTCTTGGAGGGAGACTCTGCAGGTTCAGTGCTAGGGAGGTCATTCTCTCCTGTTTGATCAAAAAGATGAGACAATAGTAAGTCCCTGAGCACATCAAACAGTTATACTTATTTTGTTCAGCCATGTAATGAGGTCCTGTAATCTGTGGGTCGGTATGATAATGTTTTCCTGAATAAAATCTCCAATCTTTACACATGATTTACAATAAAATTAGAAATTAAATAAAACCTTACGTGAAAGTCATTTTTCATACTTCTATTTCAGTTGTTGTTTTTCTTTTTTTGTGTCTTTACCGTGTTGAAATGTATTGCTAAGTATTATATAAGAAGGAATTCTTAATATATTGTGAATGTGATTTACATGCAGGGGCCCACCACTAACTACAAAAACTCAGTGTCAACTCCAATTATTACATTTCACAAAGCTAGTATTTACTACAGTGTTGCATTGTTTTGTATTCAAATGTACAGATACCAGTGTGAAGTCCACTGAGACAAATGTAACATTTGTGATATTGGGCTATATAAATAAACATTGATTGATTGATACCTCGGTCGTTTCTGTCACTCAGTGTATATGTTGGTGTAACAAAATACTTGCTCACTGAGATCTGAGTATTCCACTTCTTCTCCATCGGAGTTGATCAGGCCTCCAATTTCTTGCTGATCTTCCTCAGTGAGGGTCACAGCTGGTCCAAAGTCTTCTGGGTTTTCAGAGCCCATCTCTCAGATATACAACCTTTTAAGAGGTGACAAAACAAGAGTCAGTAAACAGGAATTACAATAACATTTACAACAGGTGATTGTGTATATATAAAACATATTTTGCAAGCAAAGTTGATCACTCAAAGGCTGGAAGTGAATCATAGAACTGTCAGATAAAATACTTACTAATACACATTATTTCAAATTAGCATGAACCAAACTTGCCTTGACGGACTAATCAGATTGTGAACAATATACAAATTGACTTTCCTTTATTCACATTTTATTCAAAATATCACATTAAAGCGTATTCTAATTTTGGTTGAATAATTATTTTTAAACATTTGTGACATATTTTGGACATGACGAGTGAATTATTGCTTTAGATATCTTTATAATTCACACAATACATTTGATTATTATATTTCAACCAAGTATTATATCTCATGTTTAAGCAGTATTGTGTTGTGTCAGTTATAAAGAAAGTACCCAAAGATGAATTCAGTGACTGTGGTTTTTATTTCCTTTTAGCTTTAGATATTCAGCCTGATGCACCAGATCTCTTTGGGGGAAATGTGTGTCTCGTGTCTGCCTAACAGAGCCTCCACCCTGGAAGACATCCTTCGTCCTGCTCAAGGACACTTCAGCAGGGCGGATGCTTTGTTGTGATGGGGGGTGTGAACATGGCTGGGCCTGATCTGATGGACAGACTACCTTTAAAGATTAAACACGTGTTATAAAAAGAATATGCATTTCAGCTGCAACACTATAAGCACTGGAACTGTCATGGTGCTCACTATCAAAAAATAAAACAGTGCTTGTAAGTGAATGTCAACTGAGTAGCCTTGTTAGCTCAAAGGCTAGCTTAATGGCATCACTTGTTCTACATCCCTTTAAATCTCACATTAATACTGATTTAAGTTAAGCAGCAACCTGATTGTCAAGCCTGTTATTCTGTGTAATTAACCCATTGTAATGAGGATTCCCCTGCAGCACAGCAGCCAGTATTTGACCTCTGAAGGAGATGACCAGCGCTTTGGTCAGCGACCACCTTCTGAGGAAACTGTTATTAGCCTGCTAGCCATTGACGTTCACTAGCATCGCTAATATTAGCAATTAGCTAACGGTTGCCTCCCCTTAAGCTATAGAAGCTTATCAACAATAACAAATAACAGTTGCGACTTGCGACATACCCATTATACTTTTCAACGTGAAAATAATACGGTAATTATCTGCAAACATTACCTTTGCATGTTTAAGACTCGCTATCTCAGCTAGCTAACGTTTAACAGACAATAGACGTTTTGACCAACCTCAGCATTGATTTCCCCTCAGGTAAAAAAAAGTAGTCCCTCGACAGAAGTTTATATGAAAGAGAGGGATATATTTCTACTTCTCTCTCATTTTCATGCTCAATATCTCCTCATAATGTGTCAAATAAATGCCCCCTAACTAATGAGTTAAGTTAAAAAAGCGTTTGGCTCTGATGATAACCTTTCTAGCTTTAGCTGCTAGCCACCTAAAGCAGTGTCTGTACTTCCGGTTGACTTTTCAAACCAAAATAACAGCCCCATTTTTGTAAGTTTTTTTAACGTGGTATATGTTAGACTTTTCAATTATATATTTTTAATAAATACATGTATTGTATTCAAATCAGGTAGATTAAGTCTGACAATTACATGAAGCTTGAATAAAACTCAACGATAACTTTTTCTTGTCTTTTTTAGTAAATTATTATTTAATTGTGATACTTGTTAATGATGGGTTTAGTTTCCAATTATTTGTTTCTTTATTCTGTCTTTTTCAGTAAATTATTATTCAAATGTAATACCATGTTCATTTTGTGTATTAAGACCGTTTTGTTTTCTGTCCTAATGTGGCCAAAATTAGATAATAGCAACATAAGTATCCGCAACCTGTAGCCTACCTATCAAAAGTAATCTTGTTTGAAATTAATATCCAGTGTCAGTGGAGGAAAGTAAGAAACCATAACCATAACTACATTTTATTTAAGTGACATTTTCAAGTCAGAGCTTTTACTTGGAGTCACTACGTTTAGTCAAATAAAGGTTCTGCATCACTACTAATCAGTGAGAAAATAGTAAACAAAAAAGTTTTGTCTTTTCATATACTATTAATATAATTGTGTACGTTAACATATTCCATTGTGGTCTGACTAAAGGCCAATGCTTTGTCGGGGAAAAGGTTCACTGGCAACTTAAACCTTGGGTCAACAATAGGAAAAAACAAGATGGAAGTTTAAATGAATGGGTTAATGGTAGATGCTTCCCGCTGAAGTCTTTTAAAAGTATGTGTTTTTTTTATAAATGTTTACATGGACTGGCCCCCCCCTCCCTTAGGGGAATTCAACCACAAAAAACACACTGGACGCTGCACTACGTCAGACACCAGAGGAGACTGTGAACTCCACCGCAGACGGACCACTTTTGGACAAAATGTACTCTCCATTAAAGGCAGCTCATTGTGGAATAGCCTCCCAACTGAGATACAGGATTGTCCCACTCTCAATAGTTTTAAAGGACAATTTAAAGAATGGTTGAGCAACAAACATCCGTGCAATCTCCACTAAATGCACTTTTATACATCTCCTCTTGCACTTTATGTAGCACTTTTATCTTATCTTGCACTTTATATATCATAGTTGCTACATTGTACTGCCATGTGGTAAATGTTTGTATGCTGCGCATGCTCTTTCTGCATATCATGTATTTATTTGTGCTATGTATATAAATGTCATGTTCTTATATGTTGTATGCGACGTGACTACGGATGGAAATTAGCTCAACGCTAAAATCCGGCTCATTTACACTTGTAAGCATTATTTTTGTTTTCAAATGTTCATCAATGTGCACTGTCCTGTCGAATAAACGATTAAATGAAATTAAGGTTTTTCTGTTCAGTCACTTGAAAGGAAAATATTTCACACAGTAATACGCTTTTATTGATGTACTTCTCTTAATGTGAATTCCACCACGACCGTTAACCTGCCACCTCTATTCTCTTTAGACACAGTGCAGGGTCAGAGGGTTGTTCAGGTAATATGTTAATCCATTCTGCCTGACTCACATTGATCCTATTTTTGACACAAGTTTTTGCAAGTTAGTATCCTCGTAGCCTGTCCTGTTAGCAGCTCTCAATGTGCCGAGTATTGATAAATCTAAGGTGCTGTCCGTGGTGCTGAAGTCGTTTTGAGTGTAGCCCATTGTCCAAAAGGGTGACCGGCAAAAACCTGGGTCCGTGATTAAATAAATGCTGTTAGAAGTGTACTTACTTAGCCAGTTAAAACAACTTTTTGGTATTAAGGTGAAATACAAATATGTGTCATACTCACCATCTCATATATGAAAGCTTGATACAAGGTGACTGCTTCAAAACAGCAGGCGTAGTCAGCTTTAATCTAGAGTACTCAAAGGATTTTCATGTCGGAAAAAAAAGTAAACAGAAGCCTCCTGGAGCATTTATCCAGTGATGATTCTGAATCAAAACCAGTGTTTTTGCTTTCTCACATTCATCTACGGAACCATAGATGCAAGGACTCAACTTTCAAATATATATACTGAAAACATATTAGGCAAAAATTAAAATAGCCAAAGAAACCTTTTTAAAATGAAAGGGTTTTATACTAGCAAGATTTGGAATGATTTATAACTTTAGGAACCAATAAGTTATGCATGCATGTAATGATTTGTTTGAGAATCTGTCTTTATAATGTGGGGTTACGTTATTGAAAAGTTGAAAAAACAGCCCAGACAGGTTTCTGAAAAAAATCTGTATTCATTTGACATGGTTCTTAAAATAACAAGGATATTGTGCATAATTCTTTTAACATGAAGTATTAGTATTTGGCATGCAGGATACAAAGGCACTCAAATTGCACAGATGGGCTACTAGAGAAGAGTAAACATAAGAGCATGGGTACAAAACATGATACGAGAAAGACAACACAATAAATCTTTAAAAATATTCTTGGCAACCCACACAGACTCTGTAGCGAATATCTTCCAACACAGTAATAGAGTGGTGACGAGTCCTATAACCCTGAATGAGTTAGCATTTTACCACTACCGGTTCCCTCGTCTCAGAGCCAATGGGATTTCTCCATAGGATTTTGGAAAATATCTGGAAATAAGGTCTGTGTTTGACACAAATAGAAGAGACGGATCACGTTTTGTTCTACGACATTAAAAACATCAGCAGTGACCCCACTGGTGATTTCTGAAGAGTTTACGTGTCTGAAAAACGATGGTTGTTAACAAGTGGCTGAATAGGACTACAGAAGTTGTCGAGGACGTTGTACGTCATTACACCGAACACCTAAACACTCCTCTAAGTTTTTTTGCCGTGTTCTGCTTGAAAGCAAGTACCTGCCTCCTGCTAACTGTGAAAACAAACGCTTCAACTTGTACCATTTAGAATCTGTAGTTTTGAATATGGATCTTAAGTTGGCGTGCCGTTGAAGTTGTGCGACCCTGCTGTACTCGGCTGTAGTTCGTTTATAGCATAACGTTGGCATTTTTGTTCTGGCGATTCGATTTATGATTAGAAAATTATAAAAGTAGGGTAGACATGTGGAGATTATCCGGCCGAACAGAACGTGCATTTATCAAACAGGTTCGTTTTCCACAGACCCTATTTTGAGCTATTTCCCCAAATCCTATGGAGAAATCCTGTTGCTTTTTTGTCGAGGGAACCCATGCGCAGCTTACTTCCGGGTAAATACGTCATCCCTGCACCACTCTGCTGTCTCTGCTGTTTAAGAGTGGAGGGAGTGGAGGAATGGAAGGAAGAAGAACAGGAAATAAGCGCTTGATTAACTGTAATATCTTCAAACAGCTAACATCAATAGATCAACTGTTAGATGTCCATGCTGGCCAGTTGTTTGGGTCTGCCCAGCTGCCTGGTTGGTCCGATGCGTTTCCCAGCATGCGTGCGCTGGTGCTGTCGCAGACCCTGGCGGTAAATGAAGCTCTTCCCACACTCCCCACACTCGTAGGGTCTCTCCCCGGTGTGCAGCCGGTGGTGCACCTTCAGTTCCTCCGCTCTCGAGTAGCCTTTCCCGCAGACACTGCAAATGAACGGCCTGTCTCTAATGTGGGTCTGGTAATGTGCCGTTAAGTACGAGTTTATCCGAAACGTCTTCCCGCAGATGGAACATGCGTACGGCCTCTCTCCAGAGTGCTGCATCTCGTGAAGCTTGAGAGAGGAAGCGGTGTGGAAACCTCTGCCGCAGTCGGAGCAGAGGAACGGTTTCTCCCCAGTGTGGATGCGTTGGTGAATTTGGATGTAGCTCTCGTTGATGAACTTCTTTCCGCAGTCGGGACAGGAGTAGGGCTTGGCCTTGATGTGGGTTTTCATATGCTCTTCCAGCTTTTCTTTCTCACTGAACTGAACGCCACAGCGGCGGCAGAAGAGAAGCGGCGATGGGCTGTGGTCGACTGCGTCTGGTTCCTCGGCTGTTTCTGTTTCTGTGTGCGAAGTAACGTGATGTGCTTGTAGAGCTGAATGACTCTCACACCCTGTTCCACAGTCCAGGCAGCGCAGCGACGATCTGATCCTGGACTCGCCCGGAAGAGACTTTAAGTATTCAGAGAGTTCAGATTCTATCGGATTCACCTCCTCGTCAAGATCCGAAGAGCCCTTAAGACCTTCAGAGACAAAAGTAGAGAAAAATCGTGTTTTACTCTTCAACTTTTTTAGCATTGCTTTAGGACTTACTGCATTACTTTCCGTCACAGGTCATTTTAAGGCAACTTGGAAGACATTCATGCTGGCTTTCCTGCACTGCTCTGTGTACAATGTGCAATAGAAAAAAGCTACTGAATCTGCTGAAAACATGAGGTTTGACTTAAGCCTGCTAGACTGAAGTTATGTTTTTTTAATAAATGTAGGAATTAAATAAAAAACAATTCGGATTATCTTAACAAAATGCCAATTTCAAGATCGTTTGTTTGGTATCTTTGAGAATACTTACTCAGGGTATATGCAGGAATCCTGAAGTCAAAGGTAATACATGTTAAGACCTCATCGCCACTTTGAGTTCCAACCAGTCGACACACCAATTGGCGACACACTTTATCTCACATTGACTATATACAGTATTGATTGTCCTTCCTCCTTATCTTCCAACCATTTGGACGCAGACTTGCATTTCCCCGTAACGATGTTGTTTAACAACCGGCGTAAACGGACCTTTGCGTGCTATCAAGCAGTGAGCGTCCGTTGTCCTGTTCAGATGGCGTCAAATCCAACGGGATGCCGTAAATAAACTACACAGAATCACACTACACACCTACGCAATAACTACATTCAGGCAGACTGTAGAATACAACCTCTTTGGACAATTTATATACTTATTGAAAACAAGCTACAAAATGTAATACCTTGGAAAACGCCGTTTAATACCTTTTAATAGCCTTATTTTTGGCTAAATTAATTTATCAACTTCTAATACTTTTTAAGACCCCGCGGACTTGTTACTTAAAAGAGACAACTGTTAATATTTACATTACATGTATTCATTCAGAGAAATAGTCTATGAGAATATTTAAAATGATTATATATGATTCAGTGGTTTCAGCTCCCACCTAAGTGGACCTTGCAGTGTGTTTTGAGGTTTCCCTTCTGGTTGAAGCCCCGCCCACAGATGGAGCAGCTGTACGGTTTCTCTCCGGTGTGGATCAGCTCGTGCCTCTCCAGTTTGTAGGCATGAGGGAACTCTTTGCTGCACACTGAGCAGTGGTACTCCATCTTCTCTTTGGGCTTCTTCAGGAGCTCAGGAGGGATTTCTATGGGAACACGAACCATCTTTCTGCCGGGGCGCTTCTTTCCTATAAATGGAAAAAGAACAGTGAAATAAAAAATGTTGTCTGTTGATTTAATGCCTACAAAAAAGAGATTGTTGACATACCAACATTCAATCACAAACTAGCCATGTTTCTTATTGCATTGGAAATCTGCATATCAAAATAATAGTTTACACAGCAGTATATCCATCGCACTAAATCACTGCACCAGGTTTATTTAACTACAGGCAGCTTTGCAGAAGTACTTATATCCTACACTCACATTTGTAACATGGTAACAAATAAATTAAGAACACAGACATCCTTCCTTCCATAGGTTACTCAATGACAATGGTTTCTCCAGGATTAGCTGCAGATGCTCCACCATGTTTGTTATAGAATATTCTGGACCATTTTATTTGCTCTTACCAGCAGAAACACCAGCATTTCTTCCTTCCCCTTCAGGAGATAGTTTGGTATCTTTCCTCCTTCTGTAAGGTCGCTTTGCTAGCATAACAAAAAAAATGCTTTTAGTGGAAAACATGTTTAGGCTAAACCGAATTGGTTGGGTATCAAGAAGACTCAAATCCGACTTGTTTTCTGTTCTAAACCAGTGATTTGTTTTTTTTTATATTATGCAAGGAATCATAATCACAGAGTAAAATCGGAATCAATGAAACAATACCCAAACGTATTTGTTCATGTTTTACCAGCAACCCGACGGGCAACTTTGGAGGTAAATTCTTCTGTTTCCACGTAGGTAGGGACATTTCTCTTTCTTCGGGTACGCCTTGATACTACAAGAAAAAAAACAAGTTAATATAACAAAACAATAAAATGCACAATGATTAATTTAAAGCATGAACAAACATTTGGCATACAAATCAAGTACACTCACTTCCTGGCTCTGCCTCTGGGTCCTCGGCACTCAGTGGAGGAGTTTGTGAAACCTTTCTTCTGCCCCTTCTTTTTACTTTGAGACAAAGGAAAGCACCATGAACCATAATTACAAAATGGAAAGACACCGTTATTATATTGATGCTGAAATCGCAGTGCCATGTTACAAAAAACAACCCTTCTAATTCCTTCATATGTACTTCTTAAACCAATATTCAAGATGTGTATTATATTCAAAATCTTCATTCACCAGGATTGAGAGGAACTTCTTTCTCTGTGTCGTCCAATGACACCCCCGTTATTTCTGGAACATTCTTCTTTCTTCTGTGTCTCGTCCCTGGTAACATTTCATTGAAAAGATAACCGAGTCATAACTATTGTTTACATCCTGTACTCTTTTAATGTATCGTTTTGACTTGTGTTTACCACAATATAAGGGCGAGACAGCTGCCATCTTTACTACTCTCTCTCTTTCCTCCCCTTCTTCCCCCACAGTCACAACCTCCATGATGAGCGTTGAACTACTGCTGCCTCTCTGGGTTAGGCCTTGCAGGTGAGACTTGGACGGGACGACACCCTGTGATCATAATCATTCAAAACCATCAGAATCTGGTCGCACACTGCATCAAGTGGCAAGAGATAAAGACACACAGGAAGAAATTCTGCTTTTGCCTTCAAGAATATCAACATGCAATCGTAAAGGTGGATGCAGTGGAATATTTGCTGTTACGTTTACATTTAATAATAACAATAATAATAATAATAATAATACATGACACTTATATAGTACTTTTCTAAAAACTCAAAGACGCTTGACTTGACATTTCTCCATATATTCATAGTAATCCCACATCAGTAGCCATTTCAAAGTAATAATGAGATGACATGTTGTACTTTTGAGTGCACTAAGTTGCAAGTTTAATTACTTGGAGGGCAACATGTAAATAATTAAGTACTGTTATGGGGCAACAACTGCTCTCTAGTTCACTTTTATAACTACTTTAATTTGAAGGTACACAAGGAAACAATTACATTTATTTTAGTGTTGGCGAGTGGGTTGTTGGGATGAATTTCCTTCTGTTCAATTGTGGGAAATCTCTGAAATCTGATGTTGTCCTTCAAGAGAAATTGAGACACCGTTTTGGGGGGAAAAATTCATCTTATTGTAAGAAAATGAAAGCAACTTCTAAAAATCATGTAGGGGGAAAGTTAGATGATTCACTGAGAGAGGGATTGTTTGGCTCATGTTCAAAATCTTTGTAAATAAATCTTGTGATTAAATGAATGTTGTGTGTGTCGTTACCTGGACCAATTATACAACCAATATGTTTACAGTACTGAGTTGTTGTTATTTTCTTTATTGAATATGGAAATATATATGCACTTGGAAAACTGCACTTGGGAAAATTAATAAATTGAGTCTCAAGAAGAAATTACCTTGCTAGCTTGAGGACTTTTTCTGCAATCAGAGCCCCGGTCAGGACTGTCTTCTGTAAAAAGAAATAAAGATAATTATAAGTATATTATTATAAGCTTAAACCTGTAATAGGTGTAACATAAATAGCTGCATTCAAATACCATTCATTAACAACGTAAACAAAATGATAACAGAAAACTAAAAGACAATAGATATCTCATTAATCGAAAAAAGTTCTTGTTTTGAAAATACTTGAATTATTTGGTTGCAAATTCCCAGGAAATGTCTTTTATTTCTAACAGCTGCTTAAAATAAGCTTTAAAAATTCATCTGATATGGAAAACTGAACAGACATTCTTTTATGAATCACTTACTGGCATCCCAATCCACCACTTCTCCATCAGAGTTGATTAGACCCCCGATTTCTTCATCTTCTTTTTTTTCCCCATCCTCCTCCTCCTCCTCCTCTTCCTCCTCCACCTCCTCCTCCTCCTCCGCCTGCAGCCTGACGGTCAGATGCAGCGTTTGGTCCTCTAAGTTTGGAGACGCCATCTTCAGTCCCTGTGACTTCAGGGGGCTACGCTCAGCAGAATCCTGAATACACAACAACCAGATTTGGAAATGTTTTCTAACTGTGTTGGAATGCATAGAGATAAAAACATTTCTAAATCAACGTTGACACTTGAAAGAGAATATATTATGCACATTTTCAGGTTAATAATTGCATGTTGTGTCTTTACTGGGACATGTTTACATTCTCTAATGTTCCAAAGGCTCTTTATTTTTCTCAGGCCAGCTCTGTTATGATTAGTCAAACACTTATAGGGTCTCTTTCACTAAAATGTGTGCAGTTTCGTCCTTTAAAAAGGCGCATGATACAGGTACATTTTCATATTTTTGTTCTGAAACTCTTTTAATTTAACCGTCAGGATTGTTTGTACAATTCGGATTCACCAACTTCTACCACAATAACTATGTTTACATACTGTTTGGCAAGGTGCTGATCTTTTGGTCTCTGCTTCTTCTGTTGTTGAAGTGCTTTGTTTTACATGCAGGCTCTGCTCTTGAGTCTCCTCCCCGGCATTTTGTCTCTGACGGGATTTCAAGTTTCTTTTGTGTCCGGGGTTCGTCTCACAGCAGAAGGGTTTCTCTTCAGTGTTATTGCCCTGATGCACAGTCACATTTCCATCTGATTTTCCTTGTATGCAGGAAATCCTAGGTTTTTCTTCCGAGTCGGTGAGCATGTGTGTCGGCCGCTCCTCTCTGGTGGAGGAGCATCCAGAGCTCTCCGTCCCGCATGCTTTAACGTCAGGAGGACATGAGTGTGTGGATGTTTCTTCTTTTTCTCCCGCTGATCTGAAGCCCTCATCTGTGTTTAAAAATACAAACAAAAATGTGAAAATCATGAACAAGTATATTTTTGTGTATGTATTAATGTGATGTAGAGATTTAAGATTTCACCACTCACGATTTTCACTCACAGTCCACCCTTCCTCTTCCTCTTTGATGATGACTCGAATCTCTGGTGTCTCGCAAGCATTTGTATCATGTTGTGGCAAATTCTGGCCATTATAGTTTTCATTTAAACTCAGTGACAACGGATCTTGAAGATCAGGATCCTAAAGAGAAATGCAGACGGAGACAATAATGCTCAGTATAAAAACCAACCTCACAAACCTTTGAGATGTCTCACAACATTAAGTGCAGCATACATTAAATGAAAAATGCTATACAAAAAATATGAGATCCGTCAGGAGTCTGGACAAGTGATGCCACATTGTTACAGTTTGAGTGTGATCATAATTCAAAGTGTCTCTCATTGACAACAATGAGAGACACTTTGCAATGTTCAGGAGAAAGGACAGTGCTTCATAAAATAAAACTAAAGTATTTATTTGATTCAAACACATACCCTTTTTACGTATTTTTATGATATTTTTTCTTGGGTTTTTGAAGGAACAAATGCAACACATTTTCCCATAACAATCAGAGGTGGAAGAAGTACTAAGTATTATTCAAGTGTGGATTATACATGATTTAACTCTGAAATGGAGCAGTAGAAGGACACAATAGCAACAAATTAAAATACTCAAGTTAAGTACAAGTCCTTCAAAATATTAAATGTACTTGGTTACATTACACCACTGTTTAAATGTTACTGAATGCAACCAGCGTTAGTTTAATAACAAACGTCACAAGCTAACTAGCTAGCAATTCACCTTTTCTGACTATTATAAATATTTAATTTAGGAGTGAGAAGGGGTTACATTTAAACTAACCCAGTTTCACCCACACCTAACATCACTTTTGATTCACCTGTTTACCAGGTTAATCTACCCAGCTGTTAGTTAACTATAACATTAAAGCTACACACAGTTAGCTGTATAGAAACAGCCCCGAAAAGCAGCCACTTTACCTCAAACATAATGGGAAGTGTTCTCCGGGTCTGAAGGATGTCATAAGAAAACCGGGGTGAGGAATTAATGAAGCTACGTTGTTGCGTTGTTGTGGTGACAGCAGCCGTTAGGAACTAACCGCTGCTGCTGCTAGGCCGCCACTTCTTCTTCTTCGCTGCTTTTTTTTTTACCTTCCGTGATTGCAGGCTACAAGCTTGGAGGATAATACCGCCCCCTACCGAATGTTATAAAAGTATAAAAGTGAAAGTACTTTATAGAATAAATACTCAAATGGACAAGCATTTTAGCAGAGGTGGAAAATGTATTGAGATCCTTGAAGAAGTATTAATACAACACTGTAAAAATACAAGCCATTACAAGTAAAACACCTCTATTTAAAATACTTAAGTATAAGTACTAAAACCGTGTAAATGTGTGTTTTATAATAATATTAATTAAGACAACTATACTTTAGTTCACTATGGTATCAATTGAGGGACGGTCCCTCTGAGGATTGGTGGCCCCTGGAATGTGTCTCCTGTACCTGCAGAGCCAACATGAAAGTTAATAGGTTACTGTTTGTTATTATCAAGGTCAGGAATACCTCATGATAACTTCAGTCCAGAATCTGACCTGAACTTTGCACTGAAGCAGATTTTAAACGCACATGGCAGACATCAGCTGGTTTGAACATCACTGAGTAAAAAAATAGACGACTTCTTCCTCTGTCCTCTTCTACTGCTGCTGGAGGCACACATTTCACTTTCTTTATCATACACATGTTCAAATACTGATGTACAAACTGATTCACAGACTTGTTTTTAAATATTAGTTAAGCATATGATGCTATTTTATTTCAATTCATAAAATTAGTGCAGGAAAGTTGTCCATTTTTCTTTTTAAGATAGAATGTTGTACTTTTCTTAATTCCAGACTACTTTCCATTTAATTTAAAAATAATCATTTTTCTTTTTAGGAAGTTGGTGACACCACTCCATAACATTCAGGTTTACCCCTTATGAAAATAGACAGTGGTTGAAAAAATACTCTACTTAGGCAAACCTAAGAATACTCTAGACAAAATATTAGCAATAAGTGTCAAACTAAAGTAGTGGAGTAAATTATAGCACATCTTATTCTATTTTACATGTATATAATAACTTCTCTAGCATTACTTGCTCAGCAGTCTTGCAACATTCTCTTGCACTTTTTTTTTATCTCAATCTGTCATTTCTTGCACTTTTTTTATTTGCATTATTTCTTTACATTTGGTCTAATGTTTTATGTCTTATATACATGTTTATGTGCATTAATGGAGGAGCCTGGGACTTAAGATAATAACTACACTGTAGCTACTGTGAATATGGCAATAAAGCCTTTGAATCTCTGAATATTTCCGTCTGACATATAACAGAAAATAAATTATAAAAAAAAAAAAATCTAATGATAATATAATACATAAGACAACCATAGAAACTAACTTGAAAAATAATACATAAAGATATTTAATATGAAATATTTTTTTTTTTACTAAAACTAAAACAATTAAGTGAAAAAAATAAGAATTAAATATATTGCTTTTTTAAAACATTATCATATAAGACTTGAATCTTTTTTTGTAAATGACGCAAAAAACCTTTTCTGTTTGCTGCTTTAAAAAATAAACACACACAAAGCTACAGGACGTTTTATGTTTTCAAATCCTTTTTTATTATCTTTGTGAGATTTCATGTTTAAAAAGGTAATGTGATCCAGTCACTTCAAATCAATCCTGCCTGCACACGCTGCTGTATAGCTCGGTGGTTAAAGCAGACAGTCCATATCTAGTTCTAAAGAACACAAAATAAAAAGCACTTGTATACTCCAAGCACTTACATTATAACAAAGCGCTTATATACTAACAAAGGACTGCATGGCGAGTAGCACTTTAAATGGTTTGGCTCTATGAAACCTAATTAAATGTACTTAGCCTATATGATTCTGTTGTCTTCAATTTTATCTTCTTGGTCGATTGCACTTATTGTAAGTTGCTTTGGATAAAAGCGTCAGCTAAATGAAATGTAATGTAGTTCTCTGTGAGACGTGGGTTCAAATATATATAAAATTCCTTAGAGAATATTCACAAAAAATAAGCACATGCAATAAATAAATAAAATCCTGGATAAAAAAATCTTTATACCTTAAATAGATGTTATTGATGGAGTAAAACCTAAGTGTTAGGAGATAGGATAAGTGTGAAGTGATTTTGGTAGATGTCGTCCATGTCTAAATTGCACATCTTGACACTAGTTTTCTTGTTTATTACATTTCTTTGTGCACGCTATATTCAGAACATTTATAAGTGGTGGGGACAAAATTGGCCATTTCAAAAAGTGGTAGGGACATGTTCCGAGCGCAACTGACGCATATGCTTCTACCACTGAAAAACGAGTAGCAATACACAACATAACATGTGATAGGTGGGCTCGACCAATGACGTTTCGTTTGTTTATCAGGAACCCGCACGGTGACGCGGTGACGTAAGCGTGTGCTTGGTTGGGGTTTTCCACACGGGAGCGAGCACGGCGCAGAGCCATGGTGACAGCTCCTCCGGCAGGATATTCATCTCATCTGCGGACGTTTCGATGCAGGATAACCTTCCGATAGTCACACTGAATATATTTTAACAAGATGTCATCCTCCAGCAAAGGCTATTTCTGAGACGAGGTAAAACTGTAATCTTGTTGAATGTCAGGTTATGTTGTATTACTCTCACTTTCTGTTATGCTAGCGTCAGGTATCATTTGCGTGCTAACTAGCATATCAGTTTTAAAGCTAACGATGGTACATATTGTTATCTGTATATACGAGTGTTTTTCTGGTTTAAAGGGCAGACAATGTTGATGAAATGCTAGTGAAAAGCTTACTGGTTACAGTACAGCTAACGTCCAGATTCCTGGTCCAGATCAGTATGAGATCAGCTAATTAAACGTTAGCTGCAGTGGTGTAAAGTAACTAAGTAAATTCCCAAGCTACCTGCAGTATACAAAGTCATTCGAATAAGCTGTCCCTTTACCAGCTTTGATAAACTCATTAATGCATCGATAATTATAATCGAAACATATAATATATATGATAACAAAATGGGCCAATCTGCAGAATGACTACTTTTATTTTGGGTACTTTAAGTATATTTTGATGCTCATACTTTTATACTTTTACTTGAGTAATATTTGCAATGCATGACTGCAGTACACTCTGGTACTGGTACTTTTACTTAAGTACAACATATGATTACTTCACTACTTCCACCTCTTACTGTTTAAAGTGTAATGTATGTATTCACCTCAGGACATTGCTTATATCATATTGTTTGGAGATGATTGAAAGTCAAGTCATTTATCGGAGAACCGTTAAATAATCATGGTACAGACTTTAAATTGCAGGTTTTCTCTGAGAAACGTTTAGACACTTCTCTTTGAACATTTTTGCTCTTCTCATTCAGACTTGGATTTTTTGCACCAGATGGAGTGGGATTCATCGGATGACGGTCTTGGAGGATCAATGGAGGCCCTCCCTTACTTATCTGAGTCTTCTCAGTCGATGCCCTCCACCACCAACATCTCAGAACATGAGTTCTCGTGCCACTGTTGCTACGACATCTTAGTGAACCCCACCACGTTGACGTGCGGCCATAACTTCTGCCGCCACTGTCTGGCTCTGTGGTGGGAGTCCTCTCACAAGAACGAGTGCCCAGAGTGCCGGGAGAAGTGGGCAGGCTTTCCTAAAATCAACATACTGCTGAGGTATGCTATTCACAGCCAGATCATATCATGCGATGAATGTTTGTCTTTCTGAGCACAGTACTCGCATGTCTCACATACAGTTTTTCCATTGCAGTATTCCAGAGCCCAAGGCCAAGTCTTTAAAATGTCTGGCCAATGGCCACCATTCAAAATCCCAGAAATGATATTCCTACAAATTCAATTCCAGTTATTTATTTCTGCTTGAAAATTAACCGAATCAATTGACACTATAGTTGGAGGTTCATTTTCTTTCAGTAGGCTAATACTCAGCTCTAATAGAGAGTTTTGATATGATATAATACACCTTCCTGTCGCTACCCACAAAGTATTTTTAAGGTTTTATTGGCTGTTGTTAATCGAATGTTCTTATCTCTAGGGATGCAACTGACAAGCTGTTCACTGAGGTGGTTCAGCGGAGGAGAGCGGAGATCCAGGACAACCCCAAAATCTCCCGGAGCTTGCTGGCCTTTCAGAGGTAGTACTGTATAATCTAATCTTTGGTACAGTGTGTAAGCCTAGTATACACGGGATGAGCACTCCACATAATTATTAGAGCCCTCTGGTAACATTGTCAGACTCACTCACAATGGACGGTTCAAAACAAAAATGCTTAAAATGGATTCAGCAGAACGAGAGATATGTTCTTTATTCCACACTTTTCCTTCTCAATACCTAGTGCACACATTACCCATCATGCAACGTGAATGGAGATCCCTCTGACAATGAGGATTATTTTGCCCCAGTGTCTTTTCAATCTGTTTACTTATTTAATACCTTTTCTACCTGGTCTGACAAATATATCTACACGTTTTTAGGTATGGTGACAACTTGGGTAGATCCAAGCCAAACCAGCACAAAGGAGCGGGCTTCTTCTTCTCTGGAGTCCTGACGGCACTCACGTGTGTGGCTGTAAGTATTTAACATCAGTAAAAAAAAGTTTTTTGTGAACATCAAATGGTAACTCGCCCTAAACCAGTTTGCTATCCCGCTGCATTCTTACCAGTGCCATTGACCTGTGCTTGACACTTTTACTTTCATCAGATTCATCGAGTTTTTAGGGTTTTATATAGATTTATTGGCATGGCACAATTATCCACAGGTTACCATGAAAAAGTAACCTTATTGAACACTTTCTTTTTTTTACTGTAAACAATGTCATTTCGTTTTTTCTTTCTCTTTGGAAAATAGAAATTATGTCAAAAACGTAAATCTTTTTGGTTGTTTGACTTAAAACCTGTGTGTTTAACAGTCCGAACTTTAAAAAAAGACATATATTGTTAAACAAATTTATATTATGAGCTTGATGATTGCCTAACATAACTTGATTGGTAATTAGATTCATATATCCTTAATATACAGTATGCATAAAAGACTACTTTGCAATGGTGCGCAATAATCAATATTATTTATAATACATTATGTCCCTCTTCTTGCTTCATGATATTAGGAAAGTCTTGTAAACGTAACTATTATAGCGTGGAACATTTTAGGTTATTTATCTTAACTACAGTGGTGTGTATTATTTGCAAGTTAGCACAGTATTGGATGCGGAGGTCGGTGGTTCATGTCATGTAGACAGACCATGTTTATTTTGTTCATGTGGCACTTTGGAGCAGCGACACTGTGTGTGGCTACGTGGCAGTAACGTGTGTGTGTGTGTGTGTGTGTGTGTGTGTGTGTGTGTGTGTGTGTGTGTGTGTGTGTGTGTGTGTGTGTGTGTGTGTGTGTGTGTGTGGTGTGTGTGTTGTGTGTGTGTGTTTGTGGTGTGTGGTGTTGTGTGTGTGGTGTTGTTGTGTGATGAGATGCTGTGATGGGCAAAACACCAAATGTGAACACCAAACATGTGCTGCTGTGTGCAACCCCACAAACCAAACAACCCCCAAACAGTGTGCTTGAGTATGAGACAACGCAATGAGAGCAATGCAAGTTCAACATTGATAACCAAAAAAAAAAACAAAAAAAAATCAAAGAATCCGTGGTAAACAGATGAGAGCATGGTTCATGAATGAATATCATAATATAATCATTTTGGTAGAGGCAGCCATGACCTGTGTGCAAAGAATCTGTTTGTTTGGGTTGATTTGGGCTTTTTGTTTTATTTGCTCACATGAACTGTACTGGAAATGATGTTCCTTAGCAACTGAGATTTGTACGGTTTATCTTTAATTATGATGTATGCTGATTTTACAAAAGGTGTCATCTTGCTGGGTAAAAGCACGAAAAAAAGTCCCGTTATGAAACTACCTGGTATAATCATTGATTTCAATAATTAAAAATATATTTTTTTCCTCAAAGGTTTAGAGATACAAAAGCTGCAGCACATTGTGATACACGGGAGTTTTTTTGTTTTTAGGATTGTTTTATTTCTTCTTTGCAACGACACATGAGCGTTTTAAGCGCGCCCATTTCCATTGTTTTCATGGTTGTCGTATGCAAGACACTGTAACTGGATCAAATAAGATAAACCTTTATTAATTAGTAGGAAGAATTCAGGTGTCGGAGCAGCGATAAGATGTACTGTAGAATAACCTAGCCATGCGAAATACATATTTTCTTAGCATCCAAACATAATCAATATATAATAATAATGATTACTTAAATGTATAGAGCGCCTTGTAAGGACGCTTTACCCATAATGCTTACTCGTGTGAGCATGTAAACTGTACCTTGTTTGTTCATGTGTGTGTGTTTGCAGGTGATGGTGCTGGTGTACCACTGGAGCAGCGGGGTGGTGGAGCAGCAGGACATGTTGATCAGTAAACCTGTGTCTCACTGGACGCCGGAGGACGTGGTGTCCTGGCTGGAGCTCCTGGGGCCCTGGGCTCAGCTTTACAGAGAGCCCTTCCAGCAGGAGAGCGTCAACGGGAGGTAGAGAAATTACATTTTATTTCAGCAACATTTTTGTTTCTTTTCTAAGGCTGGCGTCACACTGTCCCGAAATTGACACCAGGTGGACACACGAGTATGGAATTGTGAATTTCGCATGGCCCCGAACTCGGTCAACAGCCAAGCAACAGCCGAAGCTAGTACGATGCCTACAGAAGGCCACACGATGGCACCCGAACCACACAATCTGTCATGTTGTTTCCATAGCAACAACAACTTCCTGTCAACAGCGTAAACTCGCCTTCAAAATAAAAGCATCTAAATAAAACAGGAAGTTAACCTAAATGACATTTAAGGCATACAACTGCAACGAAAGTAACAAAAACAATGTAATATCCTTTGCAGTTTCACAGAACACAAATTGTACTATAATACGATGGCTACACGACGGCATTGCGAGGGCTTCACGTAGTCGTGTTGCCTTCCTAAGACAATCGAGCAGCTTTTTGTTTCCTCCGTATTGTCTTTGTGAGGCGAAAAATGCCCGATGCCCTCACGATGGCCTTACGAAAGGCAAAATGGACACACAAATTCAACACGAAAATGAACCTTCTGCAATTTTTTGGCATGCCAAATATTTTGCCACCGCTCACGAAGTTGCTGCCGGAGCCTGAGAAACTCCACCGGCGGTCATACGACGGCTTAAGATGCCCTCACGAATGGCCCGATCTTCTTACGATCAGAGCCGAATTTGAACATTTCCTTTATCGTGTGTCCATCTGGTGTCAATTTCGGGACAGTGTGACCCGGGCTTAAACTATACACTGCAAAATAGAACTGATATNNNATGTTCAGACTTTGTTCTTTACTTTCTCCGTCTTTATATGTAGAGGATATTAAGTTTTCTCCGTCATGTTGTTTCCATAGCAACAACAACTTCCTCGCCTTCAAAAATAATATATTGTATCCCTTTTTAGTTTCACAGAACACAAATTGGGTTATTTACATAATATGTTTACATGATTTTGTTGTGCAATAAAACAACCCGATGGACACACGATAAAGGAAAAGTTCAAATTCGGCTCTGATCGTAGCAACATCGGGCCAATCTTTGGCATGCCAAAGATGTTGCCACCGCTCCCGAAGTTGCTGCCGGAGCCTGAGAAACTCCACCGGCGGTCATACGATGGCTTAAGATGCCCTCACGAATGGCCCGATCGCTACGATCAGAGCCGAATTTGAACATTTCCTTTATCGTGTGTCCGTCTGGTGTCAATTCCGGGACAGTGTGACAGGGGCTTTAGCGGTTGACCAACCAAAACAGAGTCGGCCAGCTAACCAATCAGAGCAGACTGGGCTCTGGTTTCAGACAGAGGGTGAAAAGAGGTGCTGCAGCACAGGCAGTATGAGATAAATAGAGAGCTTTTTGAACATTAAAGCATGTAAACATGTCAAAGTAGATTAGAAGAACAAAATACAAATATGAACCTGAAAATAAACATAACAGGGCCCCTTTTAATTCTGGACTAGCCAGTGAATAGTGGACACTAGTTTTCCTTTGTCAAAGTTCATATGTCCAGGACACAGGGCAAACGTAGTTCCTGGTGTACACAGTAATCAATTCTCGCTGCTAACAACTCCCTCAAACTCCAATGTATCTCCCTGTTTTTGCTGTTACACTCACCAAAGGTATTTCTTTGGATTAAGAACAAGAGGAAATTCTTAGCTGCAGCAACTGGATTTGATTCATAAAAGTCGTTTGGAATGGTGTAATCCAAGAAAATGCGTTTCACTTCCCAGTTCTTCCCCTCAACCCATACCAAACCTTCTGGGCCTATGTACTTTGATGTTGTTTTTTTGTACTTGTTTCACAAAGGCAACATTCAATAGAACCGAACACTGTGGCCAGGCCAAGCCAAAGCCTTTGAAAGCAAATGATTTTGGCCCAAAGCCCAATGATGCACAAGTACCAAGCTGGAGAAAGAAAGTAGACTATATTATCATCGAGGAAATGTCTTGTATAAAGCAGTTCTGCGATCCCATTTGACGATTTTCATATCGGATGCTTATTTGCAATGCTGCAGCTTCTGAAACTTGCATATCATCACATTTAGAAAGGTCATGCCAGGCCTTTCCTTGAATGCAGCAGTGCCCCAGTTTGGTGTGTTACCCACCAATTTGCTGTGGACAAAGGAGCAATGCTGGCATAATGTGGAGCTCGGGCTTTTGCTTATCGAGCGACAGACAGTCCTGAAACCAGTGTGACTTTTGGAGAACCCCATTTACGTGATTCTTGAAATCTGAACCTTCTTTAGTTGGTTGCAAATGAATAAAACTTTTCACCTCCCCCCCCCCTTTTATCTCCTGCCCTTTTTATGTTTTCTCTATCCCCAACCACATGCCTCTTCTCATCTGTACTTCCTCTTCTGTTTCAGATGCAAGTTTTTCAGTCTGACAGAGACACCAGAGAACTATACAGTTGTCCTTGACGAGGAAGGTTTCAAAGGTAAAGCACCCTTGTGTATATCTTTCATCTGTCCTCCTACACTCTGACCACTTATTCTTGTTTTAGAGCATAAATATGTACCATACAGAAAACAATATATACTGATCCTTATAGTATCATGTTTGGCAGCCAGAATACAATAAATAAATGAAACGTGGCTTTTTTTTTTACTTGGAGAGAATGATGAAAGACATGCACTGATTAATGTCAACCAAACAACAATTTAGGGAAGCTTCTGTCAATCTCTAATTTTGGAACTTAAAGGGGAACTCCATAAATGTTACACTATTCACTGGTATGATGGGAAAACAATTTTATAATTTATTTTGTGTAAATGATCCTAGTGATGACATGAAGGTAATCAACAAAACATGTTTTTTGCATAATATCGGAATTTCTATGATCAGGCAATTCAAAGCTTGAAGAAAAATAGGAAATTAAAGTTTTTTTAATACCCAAAATATAGTGAAGTTGCTGCAATTTGTTTTGTTTGTTGTTCTTAGTGATGGAGCTGAACATGAGGTTACAACCCTAAATAAGTAATTTGTAAGGACTTAATTGCATTTTGATTTAAAACGGCAGCAAATTTAAATAGATAATTTATTTGAGCTTCTCAAATGTCTGCAGTCTTCCCTTTTTTGCTTTCCAAAATACATTTATTATGAATATATAAATGTTTCCTGAAGATTTAAGCATTTTTATTTCTTTACATTTTAAGTGTTTTTCATGATTAATTGTGATGAGTATCTGTTATTTAAAATGAGATTTTATATACTGTACATTTTTTAGATCATCCCAAAGACAATGGATGGATGTATCAATTATCAAAGTATGTGTTTGTCCTCTATTAGTGTTTTGCCCCTCCTGCCTGAACACACTTCCAGGTCAGAATCCACAGTATAGTTTACTGTGTACAGCTTACTGTGTACATGTCATAGTCCCACCCACTCAGCATCCAGACCTTTCTGTCTGGTCCTTTCACATGGATGTAGTTGCAAAGACATATGTTGCCTCTGGGTGCTCTGTTTCTCTCCGTCTCCTTTGCTCTCCTTCTAACCGAGTGCCTATTTTAAGAGGTGAAAGCTGGTGTACAGAAGCCACAAGGGGCCGTCTGTGACAAATTATGCCAACCAGAACTGTGGCTCTTTGAAGGAGAGCAAAGAAAAAACTGTATTCACCGCAGGAGGTAGACACCATGTGGTTAAAAAAATGTTGCTATCTAAACCATAACAAAAGAGTAGTATATCTCCTTTAAAGGTTTATGAGACTTTAAATAAAGACACATTTCAAGCATGCAAAGAATAGTGTGTTAAGACCTAGGAAGCCATTAATGTATTCTACATTTGGAACAGTGACATGAAAAAGGTTAGGGTGCCTATTTCCCTAAGTCATCACCCCACAGGCCTTTCATTTTCTGGCTTGCAGACTTTCTATTGCTACAGCCAAGTCTAAGGGAAAGACGCCCGTTTGAACTCTGACCCTTCTTTACCACCTACTAGGAGCCGCGTGTCTAATGCATTGGTATCAGGTTTACACACTTCAGTTGAACTGTGCGGTATAAATAGCCAGGACGTTTTAGGTCTCCATGGTGAACGAAGAGACTGGAGGTCGGGCAGAGGAAGTGTGTGTCTCTGTAACACTAAACGGCAATCATGAGGAAGTTGTTTCTTAAAGCTGCTTCTCATATTTCACACCTTCACAAAAATAACGATTGCATCAGCAGTAACATAAAATAGTAATGGGCTGCAGACGTTGAACACTTCATTGCAAGGGGGCTTTTATTTTTGAAGTAACTATTGTAATTGCTGTAAAAATAATCACTTGTGCAGTTTGACTGTTTGGTGTGTGCTGTCAATTATTTTTCCCTCTAGATATGACTGCATCAGTTTTGCAGAAGTTTATTTTTGATTAAACTTTCTTTCTCGATTCATTAGAGCTCTGGGGCCGTATTCACAAAGCATTTTATCTTACCGCTAGGAGTGCTCCTAACTCGCGCTAAAACATTTTACGTAGGAGTTTTTTCTTAAAAGTTATTCACAAAGCCGCTGAGACCTACTCATACTAAGGATAAATCACTAAGAGTGAACTAAGAGTGACGCGCCGTTGCTATGGATTACGTCGATTCTCGTGCATGAGTTTAGAAGCGGTCAGTACGGTGATTGGTTGTTCAGAGCAGGCGGTCTCGGTGAAACTCATCCGCAACATCCCACAAACGAGCCCACTACATCACCGAAAAACAAGGAAATAGCCTAGGCTAGAAATGTATTCCTATCAAATAGTTTTGGACAATGCAGTTAGCAGAATACACGCATGATGACAAGTTTGTGCAGACCACGATAATGACGTTGTATATGCACGTTAAAGAGAGAGAGCAAACAATACAAATACGTAAATTGCATTAAATCAAGGAGGCAATTAAAAGCACCCTGCAAACTATTATCCAATGAGCATATTTCCAGCACTTAAACACTTTCAATAACAGCCCATACCGCCGTTCAAGTCCCCCTATCATGATGAATGAAAACAATCTGCGTGTTGATGGAATGTACTTTCTTTCTATTGACGAACACGTCCTCATCTTTTGATGGCGCAATTATTTTTATGTGCGTCCCGTCAATAGCACCGACCACAACGGGCATACCTGCAATTGCCATGAAGTTGGCTTTGATCCTGTGTAGTTGTTGATTGTCCAAAGGAAACCGGATAAACTGTTGGATGATATGTGGTCTAGAGAGCGCGTTGATGGTTTGGTTTATGGCACGGCTGACTGATGGTTGCGATATTCCTAAATCGTCGGCATTGCAAAGTTGCATTTTCCCTGTTGCTAAATATCGTAGTGTTGCCAAACATTTTATTTCCGGACTAATCGGGTTATTCCTGTTAGTCGGGATGTTATTGCATCCCGCACTAATTCCACAACAAGTTTGATACCCTCACGATTTAGCCTATATCTCTTGATCAATTCACAGTCTTCCATTGTCTCCAAAACATTTAGTCTCGCAGCCATTTTCAGATTCTTTGTGAATAGGTCTTACTGAGTTAGGAGTCCTCTCGAGGACTTTTAAGCTCTCCTAAACTTAGGTGCTACTTTTAGGCCTAAAATACTTTGTGAATTGCTCTTAGTGAATA